CTGACAATTTGAAAATTTTTTCTTTGCTTTTATGGAGGGGTGTGTGTGTGTGTGTGTGTGTGTGTGGTACTGGGACCATCGTGATTATCCTGCTCCTGGACATTTTATCTTGCAAAACAGAAATTCTGTGCCTACTGAAAAATAATACCTTATTTCCCTCTTCTCCAGTCCTCTGGTAACCACGATCTACTTTATGTTTCTGTGAACATGACTATTCTAGGCACCTCATGTAAGTGGACTCATACTACATTTATCCTTTTCTCACCAGCTTATTTCATTTAGCACAATATCTTCATGGTTAATCCATACTATAGCATATGTCAGAATTCCTTCCTTTCTAGGCCTGAATAGCATTCAGTTATAGGTATGTACTTTGTGATATCTAGCATTATTCATGGATGGATGGACACTTGAATTGGTTCCACATTTTGGCTATTGTAAGTAATGATCCTACAAACATGGTTTCCACATCAGGAATACAGCTTTGTATCATTATTTTTATCCATTGCAGAATATTCCTTAGTGTGGCTATATAGAACTTCTGGACCTTCAGATAAGAGTTAATTATTCTTTTTACATGTATTTATTTTAAAAAGTTGGAAAGGACCTTCATCATAATGTTGGAATTGGTTGATCTCTGGGAAGTAGCATTAGAAATGGCTTTGTTTTCTTGCTTTATCTACATGGTCTAATTGACCTCCTTTGTTCCACCAGTTTCACTCTGGCGAGTCTGTCAAAAAAATTGTTCTTTGTAAGTGAAAGAAAAAAACAAAACAAAACAAAACAACCCAGTATTTGCTTGAAGTGATTCATGTCACTGTTAATGTTCCAGTATTGATAGAGGAATCCTTGGGTAGAGTTCATGTGAGGTTAGATTATTACCTAGGCATAAAGATTATCATAATATGTCCCTGTGAGAGAGAGTGTCCATGAGGGCCTGGGTTTCCAGCAGGTGGTTACTTAGGCCAAGGATCGCTGGGCTTTTCGGTGAAACACCACAAAGTGTGCTAGGATTTGTAAGCCATGTGGCATGTGCTGCTACTGCTCAGTGTGGCTTTTATGGAGCAGAAGCAGCTGTACATGAATGGATGTGGTCACATTTGGGCCGGCATATTGCACATTGATGAGGCCTGGGGAAGCCGGGCAGGTGAAGTGGTAGGTCAGGGCATTTATTCAGACTCCCCTTTAATGTCATTTGAAAATGTATTTAAATGGAAGCGTGTCACCAGTATTAATCTGCCTTGTAGTTGGTCCTTTCCAAAGATTTCTTGGCTGTAAGATGGAAATTAAATGTAGGTAATAACACTCTACAAATGCTCCAGAATCAGTTGACTTGCTCATTCTCATGGGCCTTCAAGGCACATTTTTTACTGTGTTTGTCTTATGTTCTTTTCCAGAAGAAGAAAATGTGATTGCCGTTCCTTTGGGAAGTCGAAGTGTGAGGATCACGGTGAAAGGACCTGCCCATCTCAGTGAGTAGAATGTAATCTTCACCTTTTTTATTTCCTAAAATCTATGTGGCAACCAAGAAAGAAACAAAAAACCCCAGCACAAAGCTTTTTCCTTAGTGTATGGTAGGTAGATAAACATGAGTCTCAGGGATTTTTGCCTGCTCTGCTGAACTAGTCTGCATTACTAGGAAATCATCAATATACTGAATTTTTCTGTGCTCATACCCCAATGGAAAATATACTGATGAGATCAGTCCCCTCATGGGAGATGAGAAATCAAGTTGTATGTGAAATAAACTGTTTTTACAGTGAGAGCAAAGAAGGATGCAGGCATTTTCTGGAAATGTCAGCAGTTTGCAATGATAGTCTCTTTGGCCAAAGTCAGGTGGCTTCTCCTCTGTATTATTTTTTCTGATGTCTTAGAATGAACTGAAAAGGCCAAAAGTTTTCTCCCAAGTTGTCTTTGTAGCCTCAGGCAGGATTTTTTTAGGTGTATTTAGAAGAAAGCAGGTCTCTGCCTACCTGGCCTGCCCGTGAAGAAGCTTAGGGATTTAGCCAACATGGCCCATAAAAACTACAAAGCACCATGACTACTGTAAAGACACATGGTCAGTGTCTAATGAATCAAAGTGCTATACATTTTCCTTCTTTTTTCTAGGCCATTATCTTTGATATTTAAATCATTAAAATTTGTTAAAGCCCGAAGAACCTTGCATTTTGGTATCTTTCACACACGTGTTTGTATCTTTGTGAAAATAAAAGTAACAAATTATTTAAAAGCCATTTCTTGCCTTTATGTGAATTATGCCTAAATTTTTGAACACAATGATTAACATGTTTATAAGCATCAATCCCCGGTGCAAAAAAAAAATGTTTATAGGCATATAATGATTTCTTTATTCAAGGTTTTCACTGTAATGAATGAAACATCAAAACCCTTTTCTGTAAATAGTTAGAAAACCTACAGCTTCTGATGGGATTTCTTCCTTCTTGAAAACATAAAGCTGACTTTTGGTGACAAAGTCATTCAGATCCAAATTTTTTAATCATTTCATTAATACTGTTGTGAAATATAGTTTGGGTTAAAAAAAACAAAATGCTAAATATTCAGTAGCATTGCTGATACTGGCCATCAAGTGAAAACAACCCAAATGTCCATCAACTGTTCAACAAATCAGTGAAATATTAAATATGTGGAATATTATTTGGCTATGAAAAGGGATAAAATGCTGATATAAGCTACAACATAGACAGTCCTTGAAAACATTATGCTTAATTGAATGAGGCCAGTCACAAAAAGTTACACATTATATGATTCCATTTACTAGCATCATCCAAATCAGGCAAAGGTACAGAAATGGAAAATGGATGGATAATTGCCTGCTTCTTATGGGATCTCTCTTGGTAGTGACAAAAAATGTTTTATGTTTAGACCATAACAGTGGCTTCACTTTTTAAATATGCTGGGTATGTATGTTAAGTAACATATTTCTTTCTCATTGAGTTTATTGGTATATTTTATGTATACAGTACAGTTACATTCATCATTGGGATCTTGTACCTTTACATGACAGGTCTTGATTCTCATTTTTTCCCCTTATCCCTGCCCTCCCTTCACCCACTCCTCCCTTCCCTATTTACAAACACTTTATTTACATTTTTTCATTTTCTCATTTTTTTTCTTCTCCCTTATTACCTTTCCTCTATCCTTCCCACTTCCCCTAAACCTTTAGCCCTTTTCTTCCTATTTCACACTGTCAATTATATCATTAGGATCTTATGTGCCATTATAGTTTTTCACACCAGAGAAACTATTTGGTATTTACACATGTGTGACTTATTCATTTCACTTAGGAGTATATCCTCAATATGTATCCATTTTCCTATGAATGAATCTAATTTCTTATTCTTTATGGCTGAGTAGTATTCCATTTTATAGAAAAAATATATCTTCTTTATCCAGTCTCCAACTGATGGGCAAATGGGCTGTTTCCAAGTTTTAGCTATTACAAACTGTGCCGCTACAAACATAGGTGTGCATATATCACTGGGATATGATTCTTTTAATTCTTTGGAAAGATACCCAGCAGAGGGATGGCTGGGTCAAATGGAGCCTCTAGTCCCAGCTCTTTGAGGTATCTCCATATTGATTTGCATAGTGGTTGCACCAGTCTGCACTCCCACCAACCATGAAGAAGGGTTCCTTTCTCCCCACAACCCCGCCAACATCTGTTGTTGTTCGATTTCTTGATAGCAGCCATTCTTTCTGGATGTTGTAGTATCATTGTAGGAATCTCAGTGCTGTTTTAATCTGCATCTCTTGAATGGCTAGTGATGTGGAACATTTTTTCATATATTTACTTGATGCTTTTACTTCTTTGTCTGAGAAATGCCTGTTCATTTCAGATGCCCATTTTTTTCTCATTAAATTTATTGGTACATTTTAGTTATACATTACAGTTACATTCATTATTGGGATCTTGTACCTTTACATGTAAAGGTTCAAGGCAGTTCTTTTTTTCCCCCCTCATTGAGTTTATTGGTACATTTTAGGTATACAGTACAGTTACATTCATTATTGGGATCTTGTACATTTACATGACAGGTCTTGGTTCTCATTTTTTCCTCTTGTCCCTGCTCTCCCTTCACCCGTCCTCCCTCTCCTTATACAAATATTTCATCTCTATTTTTTCACTTTCTCATATTTGTCCCCTTATTAGCTTTCCCCTACTCTTCTCACTTTCCCTACACCTTTCGCCCCTTTCTTCATATTTCACATTGTCATTTATATCATTAGAATCTTTTGTACTATTATAGTTTATTCACACCAAAGAAACTATTTGGTATTTACACATGTGTGATTTTTTTCACTTAGGAGTATATCCTCAATATGTATCCATTTTTCTATGAATGACTCTAATTTCTCATTCTTTATGGCTGAGTAATATTCCATTTAATAGAAAAACCACATTTTCTTTATCCAGTTTCCAACTGATGGGCAAATGGGCTGTTTCCAAATTTTAGCTATTACAAACTGTGCCACTACAAACATAGGTGTGCATATATCACTGGGATATGATTCTTTTAATTCTTTGGAAAGATACCCAGCAGAGGGATGGCTGGGTCAAATGGAGCCTCTAGTCCCAGCTCTTTGAGGTATCTCCATATTGATTTCCACAGTGGTTGCACCAGTCTGCACTCCCACCAACAATGCAGAAGGGTTCCTTTCTCCCCACAACCCCGCCAACATCTGTTGTTGTTTGATTTCTTGATAGCAGCCACTCTTTGTGGGGTGATGTGGAATCTCAGTGTTGTTTTCATCTGCATCTCTCGAATGACCAGTGATGTGGAACATTTTTTCATATATTTAATTGCTGCTTTTACTTCTTTGAGAAATGTCTGTTTATTTCAGATGCCCATTTTTGAAACAGGTCTTTATATTTGGGGGTACTGATTGCTTTGAGTTTTTTATATATTCTAGATAATAGTCCTTTGTCTGAGGAGCAGCTGGTAGTACTTATAGGTTTTCATTTAGTCCTGTTGATGGTTTCTTTTGCAGTGCAGAAGCTTTTTAATAAGATGAGATCCCATTTTTGTTGATTCTTTCTGCTAGTTTCCATGCTACTGAGGATTTGTTCATAAATTCTTTTCTTATGCCAATGTCTTCAAGAGTTCTGCCCTAACTTATCTTCCAGCAAGTTTAGTGTTTTCTGTTTTAATATTTAGATCTTTAATCCACTTTGATTTTAATTTAGTGCATGGTGAAAGATAAGGGTCCAGTTTTAATCTTTGGCAGGTTGAGATCCAGTTTTTCCAACACCATTTATTAAAGAGGCTATCTTGCCTCCAGTGAGGATGGTCAGCTACTTTGTCAAAGACGATGTAGCTGAGTACATCTGGATTTGCTTTTGTGTCTGCCAATCTGTTCCACTGATCCTCAGACCTGTTTCATTGCCAGTACTATGCTGTTTTTATCACAGTGGCTTTGTAGTATAGTTTCACATTGGGGATTGTGATACCCGCTGCCATGTCTCTGTTGCCTAGGATGGCTTTTGCTATTCTAGGTCTCTTATGGTTCCAAATGAATTTTTGGATTCTTCTTTCTAGTTCTGTGAAGTATAGTGTTGGAATTTCAATCGGCATTGCATTGAATCTGTATATCAGTTTTGGTAGTATGGCCATTTTCACTATGTTGGTTCTTCCTACCCAGGAGCACGGGATATCTTTCCATTTTCTTATATCCTCTTCGATCTCTTTTTTCAGAGTGCTGTATTTTTCGGTTTAGTGGTCTTTTGTGTCTTTTGTTAGATTGATTCCTAGATACTTCATTTTTTTGGATGCTATTGTGAAAGGAATTGTTTCCCTAATTTCTCTCTCAGTGAGTCTGTTATTTGTGTACAAGAAGGTTATTGATTTTTTAGTGTTGGCCTTGTATCCAGCTACTCTGCTAAAAATGTCAATTAAGTCTAGAAGTCTTTTTTTGGGGGATTTTCAATGTAGAGTATCACGTTGTCAGCAAATAATGACAGTTTAACTTCTTCCTTTCCTATCTTTATTGCTTTAATTTCTTTCTCTTCTCTAATTGCTGTGGCTAATGTTTCCAGAACTATATTGAAGAGGAGTGGTGATAGTGGGAATCCTTGTTTTGTTCCTGAATTTAATGTGAAGGTTTTCAGTTTTTGGCCATTTAATATGATGTTGGCTATTGGTATTTCATAGATAGCCTTTATTAAGTTGAGATATAGACCGTCTACTCCAATTTTTTGCAGGGTTTTTATCATGAATGGGTGTTGAATTTTGTCAAATGCTTTTTCTGTATCTATCAAGAGGATCATATGGTTTTTGTCCTTGACTCTGTTAATATAGTGTATTACATTTATTGACTTCTGTATGTTGAACCATCCTTGCATCCCTGGAATAAATCTTACTTGGTCAGGATGTATGATCTTCTTGACAACCCTACGTATTCTGTTTGCTAGTATCGTATTCAGGATTTTTTGCATCTATATTCATTAAGGAGA